CATGTGCTAGGGAAGTTCACACATACACTGATGGATTTCGGCAAAGAGAAGAGGTCAGGACAAGCAACGGCGGGTGGGTGGGTTGGGGCTTGTTGTGAACTGTCATGCACATGCAAAAGGTTGTTGTGAAAACTGATCTGGACACCACAGGGGGCCTGTCCATGTTCCCTAATCTTGGCACCTCAGGGGGCTGCCTTGTTGGTTTGCAGGTACATATTCCAGCGTCCCGGAACACATCACCATGGAAAGCTGGCGTCTTTGTTAGCGGGAGTCCAGCAATCCATGCTCCCGCCTCCTGCAGACTGTGCAGTAGTCGTGTTGATCTTTCTACTGCAAAAGGAGTGACCCTCTGTTCCCATGTGCTAGGGAGGCTCACACACACACACACAGACACACGCAAACACGTTCATTGCAAGACTGGAGCTGGATGGTCTTCGGTGGAGGCATCGTAGTACTTTCTTACCAACAACTGTTGACCATACTGCCTTTGGCTAGAACGTTACATGCATGTCTGCATCTGGGGCCCAGGCAAGTTCGCCGCAGATGTCGCCACTCTTCAGCTCGGACACCTCAAGGAGGCATGGGAAGCAGAAAGCGAGCCGAGAGCTTCAGCGATCAGGGCCATCCCTTGGGCCGAGTCGCTGGCTCTCTGCTCTTGGACAGTTACGTTGGCCGTGCCCTGGTGGATCAAGAACTTAGTCGAGATGAGGTGACCCCGGGCCCGTCGAAAAAAAAGGATGGCTGAGGATGGCTAAGGATCCAACCAGGGAGTCTTGAGGGAGTCCTTCTCTGCACAGCACCTGCTGCTCGGGCCCTCTTCACCTACATTGCATAGAAAGGCGGCACTATTCAATGGGAATCACGATACCTGCCCCGACAGGAAGAGCTTGTCCTATAGCCATCAGCAGCGCACTTGTGAAAACGCAACTGACAAGGTGTTCCAACACTTGGCTGCAAAGATGCATGCTGTGGAATGGGAACTTATCTGACAAGGCTGTACAAGCATGCGAATCATCCATTTGCGTGTTCTTTTTCTTTCTTCCATTCGAACAGCTGGAGTCCTGCATGTCATCCGCGATGGCCGTTGCAAACTTTGGATTGCAATCTTGGAAGAAGCTGCACAGATGTCGCACCTGGTGCTGTCGCACCAGCAACATCAGACTAAACTGCCCCTTTGGTCCCTCGAAGAAGGCCAGGCCAAGCCCGGGACACGACCACCATTACGATGCTCAAGCGATAGCCGATTTCGAGTCGCCTTAGTCGACAGTAGGAACATCACCCCAGGACGGCCAAAGTTCCTCTTGAATCCAGCCAAGCCTCCTCTTCATTTCTGAAATCAAAGGAACTTGCATGTGCAAAAGCTAGAGTGCTTCAATTGCAAGAGTCCCTCTTCCACTGTTCTGAGCTACGGTACTTGAGGCCGTGGCTGCCAGCTCTTCGAACCTCGAAATCTCCTGGAGCGTGACAATCGTTCCTTCCTTCAACTGTTCTGGCAAGTTCTGGCGGAAGTGCTTTTTGTCTGTGTGAAACAGTCTGTTACCCCTTCTTCAGCTTGTCTGAACGGTCCTCTGGAAACTCGCTAAGAGCCTCTTCCAAAGACCTTCTTGAGAGAAGGCGCACCTGGCAGAGAAGAAGGCACAAGGTTGAGTAAATCCATCGAGTTTGGTCCCGACGAAACACAAGTCACAAGTAAGAGGGGCACATCGCACAGGGTCTTCGCAATGATCGTGGCAGATCTTTTTTTGACCTTGGCGCTGCCGACATCCAGCGTACCACTGTGCGTTTATCGCTCTAGCAGACAAGACGTGTTCCGAAATGTGCAAGGATTGAACACTGTGCAATGCAGACTCCAGCAAATTGACAAGATGCCAAGCTTTGATGCATCCGACACCAGCAACCGAGGTGGTCACCAAGCCAAGGACGGCCATCTCCCCGAAGAACATCCTCATGGAGACCAAAGAGGCCGGGGCTGGGACCCAGAGTCACAGCGGCGCAGCTCAGGCAGGAACCCACCTTCTAGCTTTCCAACTGTGATGCCCTTCACCTGAGAACAGAGCACCACAGCCGTGTCGACATCGGTGACAAGCAGGAGTGCCTTCACTTCCATTGCCCCACTGTACAGGATGTACATGTCCTGTGCAATGCCCCAAGCATGCTTTCCTCGTCTGACTTGTTCGGCCCGCACACCCGTAAGCAAGACATCCAGAATATTCCAGAATTGCAGGCTGTAAGCAAGACATCCAGAACGTCTGCAAGTCCTCACCCTCCGTGTTCTCGACAACAACGGTCTCGTCGCCTTTGGCACCCCATGGAGCTTGCCCTGCTGTGCCAGCTCCCATGTCTCAGCCGAGGCACTGAAGTAGATATGGCGCTCCAGGTGCAAGTCTAGGAGGTAAAGGAACCTCGGGCTATGACAGCAGTGTCCATTCCTCTTTCAGAATCAGAAATCCTTCCTCACTGGCCACCGGCTCCCAAGAATCGCCGCACGTCGCCATGAACCAACCTGCTGAGTCGGTGGCCGGCTGCTGCAATCTTTGAAGCAGGACCTCAAGGCTTCGCCATCCACCATGCACGTGCCATTGCGGGATGCTGAGTCTCGGCATTCTATAGATGTTCCAGGACTGCCCACCCGCCTGCGACATGGAACGCGGCATTCTTACTGCTGCCAACAGAGAAACTTGTTTGTTCAACGGCGAAACAAGGCTTCAGAAGGAGCATCGCAAAAGCAAGCGCAAGTCTCGCCTTGCCTCGAAGATACCTTCGCGAGACCTTCAGCACGCCGTTTCATGCAAGCCCAACATGTCAAGAAACTTTAGCAACAGTCAACTCGTTTGGCTGGCAAGATCCAAGCTATCCCATAATGCGGTGATTGGGCCAAGACCTCCTGGAAATAGCTTCGATTTTTGCTTTGGCCTTCGCAGGCATGCAAACGTGCTCAATCTGAACCCTTGGCACTGAACTGCTACATACTTGTAACTCCTCAATTCGCCGAAGGCGGGCAGCAGTGCAAACCGAGACATCTCTGCAACACACTTCATTGCTCCCCACATGCTGGGTCCCCACCCCTGCCATCATATGCCATCATGCAAGTTCCAGAGGCTCTGCCATGTGTGTTTCAAGTTTCAGGGCTTAAACTTTTGCCTCTCTGCAGCGTCAATTGCCTTTTCGCAGTAAACGTGCTCTCTTTCTTGACATGCCCGTAATAGACCTGGTAGACTTAGACGCATGTTCCGTGTCTAGCCCCGGCCACATACATCGAGGTTCATCATAGGGACTCTATACTAGAGACAGTCCCGCATGGTCTCTTCGGGAGCCCAGGCCAATCAGGTTTCTCAGGTGCCAGTCCCTACCGCAGCTATCGATTGAGTCAGAGCCTCCGGGAAACTGTCAAAGACATCGATCATGTTCCTGCGGTGCAATGCCTGAGCCACCGACTCCTCTGCTCCGCTGAGATCAATGCAGCAGGGCCGCTAGGCTGCCGACCATCACACCACACACGGACTTGGCAACGAGGGTCTCCGGAGGCCTTGAGTCTACTCAGCCGAGCAATGCTCAAGAGACACTCAAGAGGCTCCTGGGCCGTCGACCCGTCTTTGTCTGAAAGCAGCCCGGCCTCGCCCCAGATGCCCTGCAGCGGCAAAACGGTGCAAACAAGAGGAACCTGCTCCGGGGGTGCCAGGGAGCATGCTGCCGAAGAGGTGAGGGTCTCTGAAGAGTCAAATGTTGGATTCAGGGATATTGTGCCCCAGGCCTGCACTTCAGGGTGAAGTGCTTCAAAACTACGATCTTCTAGACATCCAAAGCTTGCAATCACCAAACGCCTGGAAGCACAAATTGCATAAATTCAAGCCGGCAGCGCCCCGACATCAAGAGTTGACTTCTTGCCGTCGGACATCCTGGTGCATGTCGGCTCTTGGGTCGAACTGCTGGGACTACCAGGGCTGAGGTGCTGGCCGCTCCATCTGGCCTTCACAAACCAGATACAGGACATCTGTCGGATCATCCTGGCAGGTCGGAGAAAAAATAACGGCCTGCCCGTAAGTACAGTGGGAGTATGTGGGAGTGTTGCCCGGCCTTGTCCTGGACGACCTCGTCTGGGAAGAAGAGCCGCACCTGACCGTCGAGCTTGTTCTTGCAACGCCGGGCTCAAATGGGCTCAAGACGGGTCTGACCGGTCTGATCCCGGTCCTCCGTCTTCGCGGTGACTTCGAGAAGCTGCGCTGAAACTAGTAGGAGCAGTCAGTATGCTCCGACCAGCACTAGTAAGAAGTAGTTTGGTTTAGGCGCCCGGTGGTTCCCCACGCGTTTGTTGGGAGGGCCTTCGACTCGACGTGCAGTGGCCACAGCCGCTCAGCACGGGGCGTGTTTGGGTCGTCGCGTTCTTGGGTTTGCAAATGTTTGCAACGCCTACCTGCCGATGTTTGGAGCACTTGGTACAAGACAAGCGGAGGGGGTGTTTCAACAAATAGATAGGATCGCTGTATACTGCCACTGGTATTGACAAGTTGCATTCAACGGAACTAGCAACCGAACCGACAATCATATGACAATGGCACTGACTGCGATCAGAGACTCATGAAGTCGCCACCTACCAACAATCATACAACGGAATCCTCGCCAACTGTGCGGAGCTGAGGATCCTTGCAAACTGTCCCCTCTGCTCCGTCGCCTCCATGCACCCATGGACGGCCTTGGCGAAGCCGACAGGCCTCGGTCACGGAAGAACGCAGCGGACGCGGATCTGGTGCTTCGGGATTCGGAACTGTACTGAAAATGCCAACGCACGAGCCCAGTAAAAGATTCTTCGTTGCATCTCATCATATGGATGGCCTACCTAGCTCACACCCTTGCGACTCTACTGCAGATCGAGACCTCAGGGTTGGACATGTCGTCGTTGAAGAATGGCGACTCTCGTAACATGTCAATCTGTCGGTCATTTGATCCCTCCTGCGAAGGCGAGAGCAACGACATGCAAGCCCAGATGCTGTACATCTCGTGCTGAGCTCAGTGGCGTCTGATAGGCAATTGCCCAGCCTGCTTCCAGATGTTTCTCACCTTGAGCAAGTCTCTCCATCTGGATCGCGCAACTGGGTGCCTTGGAGGTGCTGTTCACAGGAACTGTTGTTGTTTTCCCATCACAGAAAGACTAATAATTTAGCTGGAGGATGAGCTGCAAGCTGCCCGCGAAAGTGAAGTGTGTGGTCTCATTCAGGCCCTGGCTTTGACAAATGCATCTCCACGTCCTGCTTCTTCAGTTCCTGTCCAGATTCTGCATTTGCTAAGGAAATGTTAGATGCCGTAATTAATTCTATCGAGAGCGGCACAACCGAACTTAAGGAAACTGATCACATCAAGGGCTTTTGTGGCAAAGTCCTGCAACACACAAAACTCCGAGGAGACAATAACGATGCCACTCATCTTCTGCACAGAAAGCAGATTGAGTTCACCTCGGAAAACGAAGCTGCGGTCCAGCTGCTCATGCTTCAATATATCAATGCCGTTGTGAACATGCCTTCGTTCGGGATTGCTGCAGGATGCTCATGTTCTTTGCGGCTAGAGTCTCCCCCAACTTCATGATCACCACATGTGGATCAAAGCTAGCATGCTGACTACTAGAGCGATCTGACTAACACAATGAGCACCTCTAAATCTGCTATAATCTTGATCATCGTTATTATATCATCTTGATCCTCGTCGCTACATCACTCCTTGCCTCAGAGCGACGACAGCTGCTGCTTCTGCTGCTGCTGCTGCTGCTGCTGCTGCTCCTGCTGCTACTGCTACTGCTACTGCTACTGCTCCTACTACTACTACTACTACTACTACTACTACTACTACTACTACTACTACTACTACTACTACTACTACTACTACTACTCTACTAAGTTACTACTGCTACTACTACTACTACTACTACTACTAGGCGCCCC